ATATATACATATCTTATTTCTTCATTTTCATGGAGGTCAGTGTCCACTTGGCAATCTGGCTGGAGCTCCAACAAACTAAAGGAAGATACTTGGTCAACCAACTTGTTAGACGGTCAGATAATAATAGTAGAACTTAATCTTTTGCTATGGTAAATTTTAGTCCTAATCAGAGAAAAAAACACACAGTCTTTTTGGCAGGTATGGAAGATTCGCCATGGATAAAGCACAGTAACAAATTCACACGACTGACAAAACATGAATTGATTCAAGGTTGGTGAATTCGCCAACGCTTTGACCAGTGAAATTGCGAATTTTTGGTTCATGCGAAGTTCGTTCGGTGCTATGCCCAGATTGCAGTGCTGCGCATTTGCCATCCGACCTTGGATGATGTTTTCAAGCTCAGCAGGGCTCAGCTCTTTGCCATACTTTGTGGACATCGATTGTGGAATTCTGCTGTCCAACAGGTCCAACGGTCCAACATCTTAGAATTCCTTTGGTGACAGCAGTCAGTCCATCCTGAGCCAATGTGAGCTTTGCGCCCTCCGCGCGCGGGTAGTTAGTTATTTTGATCGCTTCATTGCTCTTTGTTTGGTCATGTTGGTCATGATGAAAAAACACCAAACTTCTTGTGATGGATCGATTAAATGAATCAGACAGCAGTCATATAGATACATAATTACTTAAATTACATATACTTATGACTTATATCATTGTTTTGCCACATGGATTCAAGTAGGAATGTCATTGAATCGAATCCCCAAATGCGCCGAAATATTCAGGCTTTGTGTTGGAACAGCTGTCTTGTGCCTTTGAACTTATACTCAGAGCTCAGTGTTTCAGATTTTATGTTATATAGTTGCAGACATGCTACAATATTTCCAGTGGCTACTCTTAGCATTCTTAGCTCCAATCCCCTATGTTTGTGGTCCTTTTCTCTGTAAAAAGGCACACCCGTCAAGTTTTGGAAATGGGAAGCAGGAGGATTACTTCAAGGTTGCGCATCCAGAATTGTTGGTCAACACACACATACACACACAGACCAAATGTTGTTTTGTTTTTTGAATTCATGCGCTTCTCATTTATTACATGGACATATTCGGATGGTATATACCCTGTCGGACAAAGCCAAATGATTAGGATCAAGCGACTGTGCTTCGAACAGCACTAGTGGCACTAGGTATCATGAAAAATGCCCCCCACAATATATTTTGTCGATTGGTTGAAACTACCAACCAGCAAAGTAATAGTGATAGTTTTGTTTGATTCCATCTCAATCATCTACTAAGTATAAAACTGAAAATGCAACAAGCAAATTTTGGACGATCAAATGGATGCTTCCCCAAGAATTTCTGGTGAACAGCCCCAGTCTGTGACTAGTTCATTTCCATATTCTATACACACTGGTCGGTTTCAAGTATCTTCTATTTTAACCCTGTGCTAAGGATAATTATCCCAATTGAAGAGCATATTTTTCGCGTTGAAACCACGAGGCAGTGTATATTACATGTATATATGTATAGATTCACAAATTACAGCGACCTCAAGACGAAATCACCATAAATGATTGGCATGATAAGATTTCAAGGGAACCACACAAAATGGGTAGATTTCGGAGTTTGGGAAATGTGATGAAATGCTCTCTTCCCTGAAAAGAGTGATATAACCTTGATTTTTCACAATGACAAGGTAAATTGTGCGAGAGCTGCCAAGCCAGCCTCCCTACAGCATATTTGGCTTAAAAACTTGCTCTGGTAGAAAATTCTGGCTTCTATGCCAGGGATAGGTATGATATTTTATGACTATTGATGGCCAATTGGCTATGAATCAATACCTATAGATACCATTTTTAGTGGGATGAACATCCATTTACCAGCTATTTTGATGTGAACTACAGGGGTACAAGGTTTTGACCCATCCCCAATTTTCGGAAGATTTATGGATATTATGGAGCTATCTATGGCTACTTCCTGCCGAGACTTGGCTTTGAGATACGAGTTACGAGTTGCATATCGGATAGAATTGGATAACACTTCATTATAATATTTATAGATGATCTAATAGATGACTTTCCCCTCAAAATATGAATATAGTGGATTTCCCAGCTAGCCATGGTTTGATTTCCGGAGGGTCTGTGATGCTCACAATTCAATGTCAGTTGGACATTGACACAGGACTTGTGGCCGTGCAACCGATCTGGGTGGAATACGTGCCACCGATCTGGGTGGCCAAGCTGTCAGATATACCTGAGATCCTGAGGATGATCTGTGTAAACTTTCCCCAAGAGACACATATGTTAAGGGGGGCGTGAGCATGTATACCTATTATATATATATATATATATATATATATCTATTATATATATATACATATTATGTTATATATATTATTATACATATTATTATATATATATATATTATATTATATATATATCATGCAATATATGGTGATTGATCTAGAGACCCTCGTAAAGAATCATGTTTGCTAAGACCGTTCATGTTGTGTTTTGAAGTCGCCAAAAGTTATTTTTGAAGTCTGGGAAAAATGGCCGTTTCCGGACGAAATAATTTCGATCCTCTGCCATAAAGAATGTACATACATATATATATAGATATATATATATATACACATGTATACATGTATACATATATATATATATATACATGTATACATGTATACATATACATATTTATGTGATTATATTATACATATCATCCATTTGTTGGAGACATCATCTTGGAGCCCTAGCAACTTTGAAGCGGCGAAAAAGGCGCGTCTTGCAGCAGGGGTGGAGTGAATTGTTGTCCAGAACTGGTGGAGCCCATGGTAGTTGCCACGATTCCAGCAGACTTCCAGCAAGCCGAAAACTCCTTTGATGAAACTTTAGACTCCGATTGTTTGGGAAACTAGGACCATGCCGAAGTTTCTTTTGAGATCCAGAATTAAGTTCGAGGTTTCTTTCTGTTTGATCTTGCAAGTGTTTGGAAACCAAAGCCCATAAAAATAGGCATGTTCATTTCCCCATCAACAATTCTGGTTGGTGGTTTGGAACAATTTTTATTTTCCATAATATATGGGATAATCCTTCCCATTGACTAATATTTTTCAGAGGGGTTGAAACCACCAACCAGTTTCTGTTTTGTGGGCTATAGCCATCAACAATAGCCCATTTTCAGAGGACCTCTATGGGATTCAGGGGTTGCCATAGCCACAAGCAAAGGTTGGTGTATCGAAAAAAATGGTGCAGATTGGTGTAAATGTTAAAGTTATTTTTCTGATGTAAGTTGATGATCCTCAAATCTTACCGTGAGTTGTTTCTTTTGACTTTCAAACACACCAATGTTATAAAATGTGAATGGATACGAATGCAAGTTGAACACAGGAAAATTTTCTGAAACCTCTATGATCATTCCACACCCTGGTAATTCATTCCACCCATCTTTCGGCGGGACCCCAACAAATCCCTTCCCTCTGACATTCGATACACCTCTAGACCCTTGGTTTCGTATTGCATCTATTCATTTTGGGGTCGCATAATGGGGTGGTAGTTATTTGAACATAGGGGGATGGGAACATTGGGATTTGTCATGGCTGCACACACATACCGTAAGGTTGGTCTAACACTGTCTAACAATACCATATTCCGAATTGGTAATACCTGTTACCTGTATTGGTATACATCTATCATTGGCAAACACCAATATCAAGCGTGGAATTTGCCGACAAGAACATGATTAAATTATATTAAATGGGGATACAACACCAACAATCATAGGCATATACATATGACATATATATATATGTATATAGTTATATATATATAATATCATACTGCAAATACATACAGTACACACACAAAATCAGGTTTGCTTCAACCAGAGGTCCTGTGGATTACCATCAACCCAAACGGAGATTTCTCCAGCCATGAAGCTGATGACACCGGAGGGTCTATGACTTTCAATGTGGGATTCGGCCGCCATAAACTATCCCCAATAGAGGTTTATCATGGGCTAATATTGGATATACCTTCATGTGGGATGATGTTTATGAGGACTCCCAAGGTTGAGTTACTGGGATGATTTATGGCATTGGCTTTCCCACGCTATTAACCATGATCAACCATGAATTTACCATTATAAACCATTATAAACCACTATCAACCATGAATTTGCCATGATAAATCATGAAAAAACACACCATGTTGATCCTTTTTGTTTTTTCTTTTAGACTATTACCAACCACTATGAAAACCATGAAATTTACCATGATTTTTACCATTTTCATCTGGTGTTCACCCGGGATGAGCTAAGCTCCAGACACCCCTCGCTCAGGTCCTTCATGATCGACTTTCGGTACTGGAGAAGCAGGGGATAGTGGTACCATCCAACAAAAATTGGGGAATTCAATGGAAAAATAATGGTGGTATCATGAGAACAGTGGTGGTATCAATGGGAATATCATGGTATTTCAATGGGAATATTAAATGGGAATATTCTGTGGTGCTTATCATGAGGATATCATGGTTTTTCATGATATTTTATTGTGTGGGGATTTTTCATGAAATTACGAACATTTCACTGTACGCTTTGAGGGTTTCTAAGCCAACTTCTAACTGGAGGGCACCATCTTGCCAACATATATATATATGGTCAGTACAATTGGCATGGTTTCACTGGCGTGTGGTTTCAGATCTTGAGAAACTAACATGGTTTAAGGATGCTTAACATAGTTTTTTCATAGATTAACATAGTTTGACCATGTAAAAAACCATGTGAAAAAGCCATCAGTGGCGTGTAGAAAACCAGTGAACTTCAGTGAACCTGGGAAGATCACCGTGAATTTAAAATTCATTGGATTGTAGCTTTGATAAGCGTTTTTCTGGCTGCGGCTAATCATGTATATGTATATATATATATATATGATTATATATGCATATAATTTCACAGAATCCATTGTAGTCCTATCACATCCCTTCAACCCCAAAAACACTTACCTCCAGAGGCATGGGGTTCTCCACCCATCTGGGCCAGGCGAAGCAGTTGAAACGAAAGAGGTGCCCGGGGTGTCTGGATGTAGGCACCAAATGAGCAGTGCCCTTTTGATGGGAAGATAAGCCATGTTTTGAGGATGGCCCTAATGCGACATTTGAGCAGCGTTCGCAAAAAAACAAAAGTGTTGTCCCTTTATACTGATTGCTTGATAGGGATTATTCCCAAGGAAATTGTGAGTATAATCCCTAAAATGATCATCAACCAACCATCATTCATTAGTTTACATCCACTTAAATCATCTTATACTCCCATAGCTTGATGGTTAATTACCTGTTAAATGACTATCATCATCAACCAAATGGTCATCCCATGACAAGGTGGTGCCCCAGTTCGGAATCGCGATTGGTTGGTGCAAATAACATTCCACAACTCCAATTTCACATATTTCACTTGGGTAAATTCATGGTAGATATACCATGATATACCAACAAACTTCATAGGGGTTTTATGAACATTTTCAAACATCACTGGGGCACCACTGGCACCGTAGCGGGATTCACCCTGGCCCTGGGATGACCTGCCGCCCTGGATGCCATGTGTGTCTGGTAAGTTCACTAACCTTGACCTTGACCAAGAAAAAACGTGGTAAAGCCATGTAAACCCAACATATAAAAACATCGTTTCACATAAAGCAACCGTACAAACGGGTAATTCTATTTTAAAACTATCAAAGTTTATTATAGTTGGTTACTCATGTTTATTAAACCTAAGATATTTGGACCCATCAATCCGGGCGGTCATACTCCGGATGTCGCCAGACTGGATGATTTGAATTTTAACTATTGGTTGATGGTTTAACTATTGGCAATAACTATACTGTAGCAGTAAGTAGGGTTATTTAGTGATTAATTAGCTATGTTTTGATAAGATTCGCATGTTTTATCTATTTAAACTGTTGACAATTGGTTATTTTTTGACAATCACCATGACCGTGACCATCAATAGATGGGTAACTCCTATGATTTTTTTTTTTATGTCCCAATATATCCTATAATATAGTAATAGATGACGCTATGTGCATTTTATATAGTTATATCCCCATTATATCACATAAAATCGCGGAAATAATAACCGTATCCATATGTATACTCCCAATCTGAGCGATTCCTTGTGCCGGAATGGATTAAATTACATTTATCAACCCTTATTACGACAGCCGCAAAGGAGGCCATGCGAAACCTAAGGCAATTTTGGGTGTGTCTTAAAAGATAGGGTAATCATGGATATCCAATTCCATCCACTGGCAAATCATATCTATATAATCATCATTTTCCCTATTACATAGCCATTCGGAGGGTTGCTCCACACGGGCAAATTGCAGCCACAAGAGGGGTGTACTTGGCGGTTTTCTCCAGGACTACAAGGTGGTACCAGTTATAAATTGGCTTATAAACAAATCTAACTATATAATCTAAATATAGATGTATCTATCATTATCTATCATAAACACAACAGTGAAGTTTCTTTTAAAGCAACTTAACAAAGTAGGGGGTCACCACCTTGTACAACTAGACTTAGCCCACTTACCCTACTGAGAATTCTTATTCTAAGCCACTTAAGTGGGGTGAACCACCAAGTACAAGGTGAGGCCCCCCAGTTATATGTGTTGGTGAAAAAAAACAATAACTAGCTCGTTAGAACCCCCGTAAACCCAAACGTGGTGCGTCAACCTATTTCTCATAAATCAAGATAAATCAGCTATCAATCCCATGAAATCATCATTTTTCTCGGTGAAATCACCCCTTTCCTATGTTTATTTCAGGGGAAAGCTGTCCTTTCAACCTGTCCAAGGACAACCTTTACCCGGTCCAAGCCAGAGCCGTAAATTTGAGGCGTTGCTCGCGTAGCCGCGCCCCAGAGAGGCGCTTAGATCATGGAAGGATTATATTACCCTTTGGTTATTTAACGTAGCCGTTGAAAATCCACGTCTTTAATTAGGTAAATAATCATAATTCATCTATACATGAATCATTTCCAGTAGCTATGTTAAATAACCAGAGGGTACATACCCCGAAAATAGAGGATATTAAATAATTAAACCAGATAGAAGATGCAAAATTGGGGGTTTAAAAAAAACAACATGGGGATTTCCATAAATGGGCTCTTCTCATTGGATTGGTTGAAGGGAAAAGCTTAACCGGAAACCATGGTTTTTACCATGAAATATATTGGGGGACACTAATCTATTTGGGGATTTCCATAAATGGGGGATCCCCAATAGCTGGATGGTTTATAATGGAAAATCGTATTGAAATTAATGATTTGGGGGTGCCCCTATTTTGGGAAACCTCCATGTCTATTGATGAGATTTTAAGGATTACATAACTCTTCTGATGTAACATCCCACTCTATATATCTCTATATTGAAAATTACATTCTATCCGACCAGTATCCGATATTTAATTACCGTTATATCCCCATTTCCATCCTGCAAGAAGCATATGTGATTGGCTGATGTCCCTTTCCCACTGGCTGGTTGATCAATAGAAGGTTCCCTCCACTCAAGCACCAATAGGTAGATTACGATAACAATTTACCACACTGGCCCCAACAAATTATGCCTCATGATGTGATTGCTAAAGTAGGCATAGATGTATGATGATTTAGTTCGATCGTTTTCCCACAACAAGTTCTATTACCCATTTATAAATATCATACATAGGTTTGTTTTTCCCAATTTAAACCCCCATGAATGGAATATGATATATGGTAAATGATATATGTGAATCCCCTACAACTCATCATACTTAGAATATATGATACCCTTTAGTAATCAAGCGTGGCAAGGGTAAATGCCCTATAAATGAAGGTTTATAGCTGGGAACATCATCTACAAAGGGCCCCCACCCCCAAACGATAGCAAAGTTGGCGGACATAACTCCAATAACTATGGTCTACAATACTTATAACTTATAACTATAGGATTCATGGAATTTATGAACCGACTATAGATTTATCATATATATATACATACACAACTATAGATATATCATGACGTATATTATATATATATTACATTATATATGTATGTACTACATTCAACATCTATAAACCATAGTTAATCCAGCTAATGGAGTTGCCCCAAAGCAAGAAACCTAACTGGTGGGGGTGACGACTTGGAAAGCGAGGTCGCCCGTGCGTTTGCGCCTACCTGAGACCGTGAAAATGCGCAACACACCAGGATCGAGTGGAGTGGATGGGTGGAAACCATAGGAAAATGGACCATTTCACCTAGCTATGGAAAATGGACCATAGAAATGTATGATTTATATTAACTGGTTGGTGGTTTCAAACATGACTTTTATTTTCCGTAATATATGGGATAATCCTTCCCATTGACTTTCATATTTTTCAAGATGGTTAAACCCACCACCAACCAGTGGTGATTTAAGATGATTTAAGCATGTTTAACCACCAAAACGGGGATGTCATGGGATTTATAGCTGATTTATGATAGCTAAGTTGCTGCAAAGAGAAAAACTAGGTGAATTAACTATATGGTAGATATATTGAACTAGTTCATGGATTTATAAAACAACGATTTTAAAAGTCGGAGGCCTCACCTTGTAGGAACTATGATGTGCACAAAAGATGCCCCTAGTTACCCTAGTTGATGGTTGTCGGTCTAGCTTGGTCTTTGGGGGGGATGATGTCATACCCAGCTATAGAAATCATGCGCTTGTTGCTGTGTTTTTTCTGACGCTTAGCGATATAGCATGAATGGAGGGTTGTATACAACTGTCACTGATTTGGAGATGACTGAGAGGAACCCACCAACTGCAAGGCCTCACAAGTTCTTGAGACATTTTCAGAGTTGGTAAATCGCCCAGAATTCATCATGAAAAGCTGGGTTGCTGGTTCCATGCTTTTTCGCCGGTGCCAGATGACGCTGAGAGCGGACAGCCTCGTGTCCTTTTTCTAATGGGTCTACCTGGCGGGGGAAAGAGCACTGCTCCTCGGACCTCAGTGGAGGACAATCCGCGGGTCATGGGGATTTGCCATGCATTTCTTGGAGCATAGGATGGTTCAAGGACTTGAAGCCCCAACCATAAGCGACTTGGTCGAATTCAGGGCGACCTCAACTTGAGCATAAGGATGATGGTTAAGATCAAAGGGATACTAACAAAAGGGGTCCTGCATCACGTTTGGATGATCCTTCCACACTCAGCTACGCCGCTACGCACACACGCACGTTGGGGCGTAAATCAACATAACTGATACCTAGTGACTATAGGGATCGGCGATCCGAGCTCAGTTGCAGCCCAGTTATATTTTGGGACACAGCCCTCTGGCAATCACACCTGGAAGCCAAATCACACTTTAATCATTGGATTTTTCCCTTGCCAGATCATAAATTACCCTGGGTAAATGATATAGACTTTACAGCGGTCACAATGGTGTTTTTTTTTTGAATTGCTAAGTTAGTTGGCAAAAAAAAACAGAATTTCTCAGCTACTGCCAGGTAACTTTCCAAGATATGAGAGTAAATGCCTCCTTAACTGGTTGGATACTTAGATCAATGGCCATGACTCAGGTACCGATTGATTGGAGGTACCCTTGATATGTAAGGTCTATTTTTTAGGACCATGTGAAGGAATTTCTTCCCAACGTATGGCTTTAAACTTTATATCGTACAGCACGTCAATTTTAGGGTCCTGAAATGGCATAATGGGGATGGGTCAAAAGTTAAGACTCAAGAAACTACAGATTTTAGGTTATTTAGATCCTTTTTTTTCCATTAACCATCCATTTTTAGGGTGACCAAATTTTGCCCCCTCAAATTTCCATATTTTTATGGGTGTTTTTTTAGTGTTTTTTTTGACCCAAGGTCAAGCGACAAGTGATGCGAGCCGATGATCTGGACATTGAGCCGGACAAGATCAAGAGATCCTGGGCTTGATGAGTAGGATTTGGACCTACTGTGGATGGTTGCAAAATCCTGCACCACCTTGGAAGGTTGAAACCCTATAAATAAGGGGATAAACCATCTATAAAATGGTGATTTGGATTTCTTCCATCCACGGTATTTCCATCCAAAGAGATGTTTTTTTCAACATGTCTAACCCAATAGTGCTGGGGGGTTCAATGACATTAAACATCATCCAATTTGGACACAATTGGGATTTAAACTGAACTAAATAGGCTTGACCAACAAAAAGGAGGGGTTAAACAAATCGCCAATCCTCTTACAGCTATGACTCTGATTTTTTTAATGACCCATTGGCAACACTTGACATTCCCGGAAGCATCCAACAATTGGGAAGGCGTTTGGTTCCCACAAGAAATGTCAGGGGATCCTGGACCCTAGAATTGTGTGGGAGTGACATACCTTCCGAACACTTCATCTACTGTATTTGGACCATCTATTCTGCGGCATGAACAAGGAAAAACAATATAGAGGCACGAAATGGGGGCTATTGACACTTGCCACACACACAACAAGAATTGCATTGTGGAAGCAAGAAACGGACATACTGCATGATAAGACCAACAAGGATAGGGACAGGTGACAAGCAGAAATTCAACAATCCGCGACCGTGACCAATCAACATAACCTTTACCCCCGGGTGATGTATCATAGCTATGGCAAATCACCATGTTTAGTCGGTGAATTACATCATTTTTACCATCATTTGTACCATCTATATATAAATTCAATGCCCATTTCAGGAACCTTTTCAGAAAAGAGGTACCATAATTCAACACATATCGCACATACACACACACATATATATATAGTTATATAGTTATATATATATATAGTCCTTGTTTCTAGGGCTGTCCGCAGGATACACCCTATGCAGATTCCTCACCTGGAACGTTGGTACCGCAGGTCTCACCTTTCCGGATCGCACTGAACTGCGAGCAGCCGGAGTAGCAATAAAAAGAGGTACTCCACGAAGAAATAAACTAGTGGTTAATTAATTAATTACCAATAATAGCAATAAACTAGTTGACTAAGAAATCTTAACTACTTATTACATCTAGAATCAATACTTTCATCAAGTAACAACTAGTTAAGATATGTTAAGAGTTGTCAACTGTAATACTATTGGTTAGTAGTTACGGAAACAAGTAATACCATTCCATTCACAGTAGTTTAATTTAAAGGACCAACGTTACCACGATCATTTAAATTATAAGGCACCTTATCAATGTTGTTCTGTGGCTTGCAGTGGTTTCAATCATGGGGTAGATCTGCAATGACTTTCTGAATTTCCGGGAGTGTCGAAGTTTGCAAGCGATTTCCGGGAGTGTCGAAGTTTGCAAGCGGATGCTGGCAAATTGAACCTGAACTTTGGGCAAAATTCCCAGTTCTGCTGAAATCTGCTGAACAACTGGGATTGCACCAGCTTGTGCGAAACCATCTCAAGCTTTCCATCAGCTTTCCTGTCTCGGATCCTCTTCCACGGCACCCGATGGCATTCCTTGTACACCTTCGCTGGAAGCATGGAGAGCTACATCTTCACTTGCCGGCAAGCGCCGAAACATCTGAGCAAGCCCACCACGTCAGACAAGTATGGCGGCAAACCTTGTTGGAAAAGTGGAGCTTGGGACCTCGTCATGAGGCACAACAGTGGCAGTGGCGAAGCAGCCCTATGCAGATGCGAGGAGAACTTGCGCAAATTGATTTGGAAGCAGCACGGAAGGCAATGGAATCTACATCAGCTCATGGCAGAGCTATTATATTCGGTTCAATTTCCATTCCAGCGATGTTGCACAAGATGAAACCTGAGGAGTCACAACCTATCACAACCTCCTCGTGGTGTCGGTGGCCTGCTGCATCTTTGTCCGGTGCGGCAGCACTGATGTGTGATCCGAAACTGAGAAACAGAAAAAATAAAAAAAACCGATGAAGAAGCGACAATTGACGTCGCCAAGAGCCCAACAAAAACGAATAAAAAAGTGAAAGGTGTGTCAGTAGATGCAGCTACCCTTGAGCTCCAAGGAGAGCAGTGTTTCGTAGGCTGCACCTAAGTAGGCTGCGTTAGCAGCTGTTGCCATAGCAGCTGTTGCCATAGCAGCTGTTGCCATAGCGGATCTCGATTTTTCTGTCCCTTCCAGGATTTGGTATTTGTTAGTTTCTCTTGCTATCCAAAACCTTGAACGGAACCTTGGTGACCGGATTAGGTACTCTATTCGTGAGCATTTAAAAAGCCTTCAGAAGATCCCAAGCGATTTCACGTGAATCAGCAGGAAACAGCGACCCGGGCACCTGTTGATTTGACGTTGCACATTTAATTTAACTCTACGCTGTCGTTTGTTGCTCGCTGTTGCGCTCGAGAGGCCGGCAGTTTGAATTGGGGAAAAAAAAGAATGTTGTCCTGAACCGACTTGTGATGGCGGGTCTTTTGCATATCCCAAGTTGGCCAAGCGAATCGCTAAGTCAAAAATTGGTCCGGCTTCGGTGGTCGGGTGTCTGATCCTGGGAGGCCTCGGCAGCCTCGGCACCTCCAAGCCAAGTGTTCAAAGGTTGCCATGTGGCAACAGCACCATGGACACTTCGGTGACTCGACGAGAAGTAGACAGCGAGAACCACGCCACCACCAGCCGCGCAGCACATTTGGCGGGCATTGCCTCCACGTCATCACCTCAGTTGCCGTACCGAAGTGTCAAAGTTTCAGCTCGAACGCGGGCCAGTTGTCTCAGTTGAGACATGTCCACAGTTGCTGGCCATCCCAGCTGAGCCTCAATAGGGTCAAGTGGATGCCGGCCCTCAGGGTTGGCAGAATTCTCTGAAAAGGGTAAAGGAGGTGAGTGACTTCGGGTCTTTTGTGTTTCAATGAGTTGACGTTTGGATCCCTTTTTGAATTCGTTGGCTTTACAGCTTTTCTGGTATCCTCCGAAAATAATGGATTCAAAGGGCTTTGTAATGTTACCCTTTGTGTTTCTTCCAGCTTCCGGGGTTTGGTCCAATCCAGCGGGTTCACGGCATGACACCACATGAAGCACATTGCAGCTTTTGGCTAATTCGTTTGTTTCGTCCCGCCTTCGTCTTTTTTTTGCAGCCATGATGCGTATGGTTGTCTTGAATGCGGCGTTGGCGCTGGTGGCTCATACCCCAGCCATTCTGCAGCTGCTCACGCCCTGGGACCTTCATCGGCTGCAGGCTAGATTCTAGATAGGACGCAGCATTTTTGAAGTTGTTGTTTACAAAGGTGGTTCTCTTGACTAAAGCTTTAAAGTGAGTTCAAGAAACGTTTCGGTGTTTTTGTTGTAGCGCCAACCCTGCTTTAGGTTGCCCTTGGCAGACGATTCCGGCTGCCGCAACCATTTCGTTTTATAGCCGAACTTGGTTTTCTCCAAGTTCCGGCTGCAGCTGTGCCTTGGCATTTTTGGTCAAGCTTTCTCCGGCTTTTCGGCTTTTCGGTAGTTTTTGTTTTTTCGAGAGGGTTTTGATTTTTTATCCCTATGGAAAGATCGTGGTAATAAGACATAGTTATGCGTATTTGTTGATGACGAACATGTTGCTATGCGCGGGAGATGGTCCACTTCTTGTTGTATGTACAAATATATAGTTGCTTTTTCAAACATTTGCTTGCTGCTTCCAAGGTAAGGGTGCGAGGCTGGTATGGCGCAGCCTGGGATGAGCTTTGTGTAAATTGGGGCCGGTTGCACCCGGCAGCCGTGCTCGGTGTTTTTGGCGGTGGTGGTGAAGCCCTGGCACGGGCCACTTTGCATAGCTTGGAGCGGCGCCAGCTGCAATTGCCCCCACGTAGGGCTGGCGTCGCGCGTCAGCGGCAAGTCCTACGTGGGGTGCTTCAAACGAGGTTCGGGGACTTTTTGGTGGAGCTCAGTTACACACGTGAGGTGCAACTCATAGTGTAATGTGTGCCTCTGATTAGTGTGAGGGGGCCCCCCCCCCAACCAATTTGAGGATACTCTATAACTCGCACTTTTTTTTGCCCCCCCTCAACATTTTTTTGGTCAATCAACTTAAGAAAGGATTTCAATTTACTTTCAATTGATTTCAATTTATTTTCAATTGATTTCAATTTACTTTCAATTGATTTCAATTGATTTCAATTTACTTTCAATTGATTTCAATTTACTTTCAATTGATTTCAATTTCTTTTAATTTACTTTCAATTGATTTCAATTTACTTTCAATTGATTTCAATTTACTTTCAATTGATTTCAATTTACTTTTAATTTACTTTCAATTGATTTCAATTTACTTTCAATTGATTTCAATTGATTTCAATTTACTTTCAATTGATTTCAATTTACTTTTAATTTACTTTCAATTGATTTCAATTTACTGTCAATTGATTTCAATTTACTTTCAATTGATTTCAATTTACTTTCAATTGATTTCAATTGATTTCAATTTACTTTCAATTGATTTCAATTTACTTTCAATTGATTTCAATTTACTTTTAATTTACTTTCAATTGATTTCAATTTACTCTCAATTGATTTCAATTTACTTTTAATTCACTTTCAATTTACTTTCAATTGTTTTCACTTTTACTTTTAGTTTATTTTTATTTTTTTTTCACTCCCAAAAGTTGGTGCTCACAATAGAGTACCATCCAAACAATTATATTATTGAGTAACTGAGCCAATCATGAGGTATCCCCTTGAAAAATTGTTTGGGTGCTGTTTTTTTAATAAGGGTTTAATAAGGCATCTGATTATTTGGGAAACCTTGCATTTTAAAGCTTGAACACAAATATGGCTTTCTAAAGTGAAAGGATCAGCTTTACCCAAAGAAAGATGGAGAAAGGGTTTTGCTTTTTTTCACTCCCAAAAGTTGGTGCTCACAATAGAGTACCATCCAAACAATTATATTATTGAGTAACTGAGCCACTCATGAGGTACACCCTTGAAAAATTGTCTGGATGCTGTTTTTTAATAAGGGTTTAATAAGGCATCTAATTAT